AGATTGCAGAGGAAGGGATGACAAGAGAGGAAGCAGGCAGATTGCAGAGGAAGGGATGACAAGAGAGTAAGCGAGCAGATGGCAGAGGAAGGGATGAGGAGTAAGCAGGCAGATTGCAGAGAAAGGGATGATAAGAGAGGAAGCAGGCAGATTGCAGAGGAAGGGATGACAAGAGAGGAAGCGAGCAGATTGCAGAGAAAGGGATGACGAGAGAGGAAGCAGAAGGCAGATTGCAGAGGAAGGGATTGTTAGTGTTTGGGGACAAACCCCCAAGCAGTGTGCAGCAGCAGTCAAGCCAGGCAGCCAAATGAGAGAGGCTGGGCCCAAGAGTATACACACACTGGAGACAAAAACTGTTTGTAGTTTTAAATAGTTGTTTAATCCATTCAGAGTTTAAGCATTGTCAATCAGTCCATATGTCATTCACAAATATATCCATCCAGTAACTTAGTCCATTAACTAGTCAGTACTATGTTCTTATCTGCTTGTTGAGATATCTTCTCCTCCCGATACCTTTCTCTTGAAGGCAACGCTGAGTATTCACAGGATATCAGCTCACCAAGAAAATAGTCCTTTCTTTCAGCAGAAACGGTATCCAGCACAGTAGCCAACAAGCAGTAACAAGCAGACGTCTCAAACAGGAGTAAGCAGCAGGCAGGAAGAGAACAGGAAGAGAGTTACGTTTCTCTTACTGCCTTTTATTGCAGTTTGTAACCGCACCCTTAATTAGCTAATTACATTGCAGTTTGGTGCTTAAAGTTACAAACACTTAAACCTTGGTTTATATATTTATTCACCCAAACCTAGTTGGTGTATCAATATACCCAACATTCTCCCCTTTTGGGTGATATAAATATATAATACCCTTACAATCTAAACCCATACTTTACACAACTCTCTAGGTGCTTAATGGCACCTTGGGCTTTAGTAAAATTATCAGCTATATTGTCCTCCGACATGCAGTACTCCAGCTGTATCATTTTACTCTTTACAGATTGTCTAACGTTTAGGTACCTTAAATCTGTATGCTTGCTCCTAGTTTTTACTGCAATATTTGTGGCCATTTGAATTGCTGCCTGATTATCTTCATGTACAATTATAGGATAATTTACAGTTATACCCATATCATTCATCATTTGTTTATACATGATTAACTCAGTACATAATAATGACAAACAGGAGAATTCTGCTTCCATAGTAGACAAACTTATATGCTGTTGTCTTATTGACTTCCAACCTATTAATGTCTTACCCAGCATTATGGCTGTTCCCGAAGTCGACTTTCTTGTGTCTCTTTCTGATGCAAAGCTAGCATCTGCATAAGCACTCAATATTAGATCACCTTTTGGTTCTAGATACAGTGCATGGTGTAATGTTCCTTTAAGATATCTTAAAATTCTCTTCAATGCATTCCAATGACATTGAAGCGGATCATTATTATGTCGTGCCAGTTGATTAATACTATAAGCTATATCTGGCCTTGACCAATTGCTAATGTATGATAAGCTACCAATCAAAGATTGATATATTGCCTTATCCAACTTGGGACTTTGAGCATCCATTTTGCAAATATCCTGACTCATTGGAGTCTTTGCAGGCTTACAAAGTTCCATCTTATAATCTATTAGCAATTTAGATATCTTATCCTCCTGAGATATCTTATAACCTTTCTGTGTTTTCAGTATATTCAAACCTAGATATTTCTTTATCTCCCCTAATTGCTTGATTTTTATTTTCTTAGCTAATGATGCTATTATTTTATTTGCTTCATCATTAGTCTCAGTAATCAAGGCAATATCATCTGTAAATAATAATAATAATGATATTTTCCCATTTGTCTCCCTTTTAAATAGACATGGATCGGCTAAACCAGCTTTAAACCCTATATTGTTTAGTTCCTTTACAATATACTGGTTCCATTCATAGCCTGATTGTTTAAGACCATAGAGGCTCTTTTTAAACAACCAACAATCATTATTATTTTCACCTTTAAATCCAATAGGCTTTTTCATATATGCAGTATGTCTTAGTGGGGCGTGCAAGTAAGCAGTTTCCACATCTAGATGGTTAACTATATATTTCTTGCTTGCTGCCCACACTAAAGCTGCCCTTAATGTTGCTGCTTTAAGACTAGGTGCAAATACCTCATCATAGTCATTGGCACTTTGTCTAAAACCTTGGGCTACTAATCTTGCCTTATGGATTATATTTCCATCCTTATCAGTTTTTATCTTAAAAATCCATTTGCAGCCAATGGGTTTTATATCTACAGGTAATCTTGCATTTTCATATACTTTCATATCCTTCAAGGATCTCAATTCCTTATTAATTGCTGCATACCAACTTTCTTTATTAGTTAGTCACATCTGGTGGGTTTGTTATTATGTCCCACAAACCTTCTCTTCGTAGCAGTAAACTACATTTAATTGACCATGAAACATAGTTTGTTCCATCTAGTCTGGATATCATGGACAGACTTGGCAAATTTACTTGTGCCATTGCTCTTCAGATAATGTAACTATTTAACAACTAATGAAAAAAACAGTTTGTTTTTACAGTAATGTGCAACTCACACCAACTCTCACTGCTATATCCTGGTTAGTTAGACTGTGCTCACTGGGCCCATAACCAATGTTAGTGTTTGGGGATAAACCCCCAAGCAGT